GCAACATCCCACACATAAGCTTGACCCTTTCGAGTCAACTGAGTCAATGGCAGTGCCAACTTTGAAAAGCCTTCTATAAACCTACGATAATAATCAGTCAATCCAAGGAAACTTCGAATCTCAGTAGCAGACTTTGGAGTCTCCCACTGCAACACAACATCAACTTTTGACGGATCAACAACAATTCCTCCACTAGAAATCACATGGCCAAGGAAACTCACTTCCTTCAACCAAAACCCACACTTGAACAACTTGGCATAAAGCTTCTTATCATTCAAAACCTGCAATCCACTCTCAGATGTTGTGCATGCTCTTCCTCGTACTTATAATATATCAAGATATCGTCAATGAACACTACCACAAACTGATCCAAATAAGGATGGAAATCCTATTCATATACTCCACAAATACACCAGGTGCACTGGATACACCAAATGGCATCACAGTATATTCATAGTATCCATACCTTGTCTTGCAAGCTGTCTTCGGAATATCATCAGGCTTAACACAAATCTGATGGTAACCAGACCTTAAATCAATCTTGCTAAACACACAAGCACCCACCAATTGATCCATCAAATCATCAATCCTTAGAATTGGACACTTATTCTTGATAGTCACCTTGCTCAATTGTCTATAATCCACACACCACCTTCTTTCTTCTTAACTAACAAAATTGGTGCACCATATGGTGACACACCCGGACAAAAGAACCTCTCCTCAAGTAGATCTTCAAGTTGATTCTTCAACTTCTTCGATTCTGGTGTGGACATACGATATGGAGCCATCGCGACCAAACTAGTTTCAGGAACTAAGTCGATCGTAAGCTGTAAATCACTTATCTCATCAGAAAAACTTCCGGATAATCACAATTAATTGGCAAACCACCAACTTTCCCACTTTCATTAACACTCAAAGTTTCCATCAAAATAAACATCTCAGCACCATCCTGCACCGACCCATCAAAACAATCTGTAAGCACTTAGCTTAAGTCAAAATAATTCACTGCACACGTCATCTAAGTCTGCAAGACACGTCTATCCCCTCAAACATGACTCCGTCCACTATCAACAAGATATTAAGGGTGATCAGTTCCTCAATTTGTCAATAGACAGCCAAAATTCATGATGGGACATAAACCATCTTTACCAAACTATAAGAGCGTTCATCGACACACTGAGTCACCACTCCACATTTGAAGCATCCTCGAGAAGCACAAGCTTCTCCTCCACTTGTTTCATTCCCACTTCTGCAGGCAAAGGTTAGAAAATAAACGTGTACCGACAATGTTTTCACACACATGTCACATACTATGGAACAAATAACATTAGACAACTTGGTCAGACGGACCAACCAGACTCTGATACCACTAATGTAACACCATTTTCTACCCCACAATTTTAATGACAAAATATTCACATTTATCAAAGTAAAATATTAAACTAAAAAAAATCACCTCAAAGGGCGTACATTTCCCAATAAATTAAATATAGGTCAAGACTCCGTAAATAAAGGGTTTTCCCAAAAGATATCAAAAATTGCAGCAGAACTCAAAACGACATAATCCAAAGTTTTTCTTGTACGGAAACATAATCAAAATAACAGAAAATCAAATAAACATGGTTTAACTTAAAGACCCCAACCTGATGTTACACTATCAGAGCAAAACCCTCTAAGTTAACCAAAATGGCCAACGACCCAAAACTTCAAAAGGCCTCGATGGCATCCACGACTAAACCTAGTCATCTGCACGTTATCCAAGTAGAGGCAACACTCAAACAGGCAAGGTGAGTAAAACGATTCATAATAATCAAGGTAAGAAGTCAATATATAAAATGGCGTCAATTTCATATTCAACATCATCATATTCATCAATGGGCATCAAAGGCCACAACATCATAACTTACTCAAGATCATCTCATAAATGCAAATGCAACAAGACTCAGGCATGTGGTACCAATCATCACAGCTCGATGGACACGGAGCCATCAACCCTCCATAGATCCCCATTAATAGGATCGATTCTACTTAAGAACCGAAGCACATCAAAACACCTTACATCCGCACACTGGGACCGAAGCCAAAGAAATCAAGGTCCTGAACCGAAGTCTGGATGCACATGAATGCATGATGCACACGTCAATAATCATCCTCATAATAACATCATAAGTGCATCATCATTCATCAAAATCATCATCATCACAATCATCACCATATATCATGTCATCATAGAATCATCAAAACTCATGGAACTATCATCATTACATCATAAGAATCATCATATAATCATGTACTAATCACATAAAAATCACAGTGATACTCATGTTAATTCGTTAAAGAAATCAAAGCATCAAGACATCAAGGAATCACTGCACAAAATTAGAATTCACAAAACTCTGCTACGTTCGCTAGCAAGTTCGTTGTGCGAGTCTGAGGCAAGTTTATTTGCTGTGTGAAGAATTCTTCATTGTACGAGTCTGGGACGAGTTTCGTTCCCTGTGTGAACACGCGATTACAGCAAAACGCTGTTACACAGTAGAATCTAAAATCAACCCAAAAGTCCAACAATTTCCTCCCCCAATGCCCCCAAAACATCCCTAAATTATCCCTAAGGTCTTACGGCGATAAAGGCACAAAATCTACGAATTATTAGGCCAACCCCGTATCATATTCATGCTCTCATTCCCATAATTTCCTTACAACTACACCACAGTCATTAGAGTTTCTCACTATCTAATTTCCCTACAGGGTTAAATAAATGTCAAACCAGATCTTTGGCCACGAAGGCCTAATTTACTTTAACCCAAATCAACCTCTAATCTATGAGACCATCAATTTAAATCCCTATATGGTTAAAACCTCAATAGTAGAATTTGGCCACGAAGGCCTAATTCCCTTTATCTCGAAATCAGCCTCAAACCCTTTAAACCCTTAAATCGGCTTTAAACACATTGAAATCACACATTGAAAATAATGAGGGCAATACTCCCCATACCTTAATTGTCGACTCTAAGCCTTCTCCTTGATTCTCAAAAACCTTTCGAAGCTTTTGCCTCAATCCTCTTCCTCAGAGCTCTGGCCTCTATTTCTTCTCTTTTCACGGTCTAACAAAAATGAATCCTAATTCCCTTAAAAATCCATTTTTGTTAAACCTAACTTTGCGCCTATAAATTGGGCTTTTCCAATATTACCCTCACTAACTCCTCCTTAATTGTCTAATTTTTCCTTAGTTAACTTATATTTATTTAAATTAATAATAATACCAATATATTCATATTATATACTATTCTTTAAATAAATAACTTAAAATCCATAATTCTCAATATTTCACACTAACCACCGAAAATTACCAAAATGTGAATATTCTTATTTAACTAAATTAAATAAATATTTCAATAAATTTGGATGTTACACATCGCCTTAGCCGATCTAAATGATAAACTTGAACGAAACAAAATATGGCATAACACCTAAATAAATTAATGGCCTCTGAATGGCTTTTTAGTATGCCACCTTCATGCTTCTCTAGAATAGGGCAATCAAATATTCATCATCGAGAGTTATCTTGTGTGGTTCTTCTTTTGTCTTTAAGTCTATAACATTCACTTCTCGTGTGTTTGACTGTTGGGCATGAACCACAACCATAACTGCCCTCTTTAGCTTTAAATTATCCAAATAACACATATTAGCAATCTCTTGGTCCCCATGGATGAACCTAAATCACCCATAGGGAAATTGGTATTTCATGAACAGGTATAATATGTTGGGTGTGAATATAAAAGTAGAAAACGGTCTAGAGGGGGTGAATAAACCCAAATTTTAAATATTCAACCATTGTTTTCCAAAATCAGAGTGTTTTCAAAAATGAGTTGTAGGTTTGATGTGAAAATGAAAATTATACATTTTGAATATTGATCAAGTCAACACAGGTCGTTTCACAAATATTAAAGAATAATATGATTGAAATGCTTGGAATGAATTGATTCAATCATGTAACGCATAAGAAATCTTTATACAATGATTAAATTTATATAGTTTTAAATTCAATTCTCTTCAGATTATTAATCACAAGAATAACTTAACCAGTTATCCAATTTCAACAAAACTTATTGCTTACATAATAAATTTCTATCAAGAACAAACTATATAATACAACGAAATTGAAAAACTTAAACATGCTATCAGTACGAATTTAAATGCAAGAGTGTATGTGTGTGTTTGTGTGTGTGTTTGTGTGTGTGTGTGTGTGTGTGTGTGTGTGTGTGTGTGTGTGTGTGTGTGTGTGTGTGTGTGTGTGTGTGTGTGTGTGTGTGTGTGTGTGTGTGTGTGTGAGAGAGAGAGAGAGAGAGAGAGAGAGAGAGAGGTGACATTGAGATATACAGTGTTCCGACGTTTGTCCTCATTTTGCCTACGTGTACTCTTTAATGGTTTCCCATTGGAACCTGCATAGTTTCTTGTTATTTGACAAATATTTCTAAGATTTCATACAATCACCAATCCATAATACATATGAGAAAATATATCCCGTAATTTGGATCTTGACTTGTATAAAACACATTTTCCCAACTCTTCCATGTAATCTTTATTCGAATACGTTTCTTGAATCTTCCAATGACATCAATCCTGCTTTAAGCATTCATGTGTAGCAATCAACCCCTTGATCCGACCGATTCCTTTAGTGATGAAATTATTCGAAGATTTAAGAAGAACTCTGTCTTATTTGTAGCCTTCCACACAATCGCTACCAAGGCAATTATTTAAAAGAAGAACCTACTTTTTTTAATGGAATTTGAAGGGCTTTAACTTACCTCAGGTTGTTGTTTGACAAGGCTTAAGTCAACTTTAAGAGGTGGAATGTCAAGAACAATATCCCCTCCATTATTGATATCATTGAGAATTGCATCTAGTACATCTGGATCTATTTCATTGAGGTATCCTCTTCTATCTGGAATTGGTGGTGGTGCAACCTGAGTATCCGGAGGTAGTGTAACCTGAGCATCTTACACTGATACTGACAGTGCCTCATTGATCTGATCTATGACTGAAGGTGGTGTAGCCTGAGTATCTTGCACTGGCGCCTGAATTGGTGCCTTACTTGGAACACCTTTCCCTTTCTTATTTAATGACCCCTTAGGTCTCCTCTGAAAAGCATTATACAAATACTAATAAAATACAAACACTAATCATATATGAATATTAATCAAAAACACTAGAGTAACCTTTTTTGATGTTTCCTTTTGAACATTTTCAGTCTGATTTGCCTGCGTAGGTAGTTCAATTGTTGTTATATTTTGGTTCTTATGTAGAACAATTTGTTTGTTCTTCTTACATGTCCTAATGTTGTGACCATACTTCAAACATGTCTTGCACCTATGAGTAGTATTTGTTCTTTGACACTTAGTTGCATTTGACTCATCTGGTTCCTTTCTTCTAAGTGTTTTTCCTCCTTGGGCCTCTTTTGAACATGGGAGGGAAAATGACAGGATCATTGGTTATATGCCACTTATTTTGGCCAGTTAAAGGAATGATATCTTCTTCATAACACTTGACATAAGTATAATTGTGATAGCACTTATGGACATGATTAATGGGATCATCAACTTTCCTATGGATTGTAGATGTTGCATGTCTACATGGAATTCCAGTGAGATCCCAAAAGTTACATGAACATGTTTGACTAGCCAAGTCAACCACAAAACTATCAGTAAACATGACATGGGTAACTTGGAATGTCAATTGTCCAACATAAGTTGCTTTCCAACTTGAACTCTTTTCAATCTCTCTATTCAATCTCTCTATTCAATCTCTTAAGTGGTCTGTACACGATCCTACCCTTATATCCATTAACTTTTCCCTTAAGAAGTAGCTGCATAAACCAACTCCAAGTGTCCTTTGACTCTGTTTCTACCATTCCAAATGCAATAGGTAAATACTAATCATTAGGATCTCTTCCCAAAACTATTAATAATATCCCACCATACTTGTGTTTTATATGACATCCATCTAGTCCAATAAATGGCCTACAAGCTAATTAGCTTTCTTTATTCCATCAAAGCACGTATAACACCTTTCAAACCTTGGTAGTAAACCTGGACCTAAAGTTTGAATGTTCAGCTTGAAAATATTTCCTGGTGAAGACCTCCTCAACTCAGCCCCATATGACCATAATAGATTGTATTGTTTGCTAGAGTATCCCTCCACTACTATTTTGGCAAGCTGTCTTGCCTTAAATGCCCTAGACCAAACTTCAATAAAATGGAATCTAAAGTTAAACACGTGGACCTACCTTAGATTCAATGTCGAGGGACCACAAGCATGCACCTTTTAAAATGAGTCTGAGACCATAAAATGAAAATACACAATGTGTTACTCATACTATCTTGAACAAACTATAAGCAATAAGCAATCGATTGAAGAAGAAAGGAATAGATACAAGAAAGAACTGTCTACTTGAACAAGAAAGCGATTGAGTGTTTTAGGGTTTCCAGCATTACCTATTTATTAAGCATTACTTAAATATGTGGCATCTAATTATTCAAAAATTTAAAAAAAAAAAAGTCAAATTAGCATCCACGTAGGCTTTCGTAAGTGGAATAGATAGCGGGGACGCAAAATAGGGACGAAAAACTTTATGAGGATGATTCTTTGAACGAAAATGTTCTGTGGACTAAAAACTAGTTTTTGGGATATTTATATAGACTAAAAACATATGCAACCCTTAATTAAATAATTAAAATTTTAATTAAATATTGTTTACTGTTAAACCACAAATTTTGCTTTTTATGCTAATTGTAACCAAAATTCACCAATTTAAATTATTAAATTAAAAACACTCCCAAAATTCTATATAAATAATATTTAAAAAAATCGGGGTGTTACACAGCCAATCAAAAAGAACAAAATTACCCCCCTTTTGAAAATTTTGGCAAAACAACTCTTTCAAGACTTACAAGATGTGCATGAGTAAATCTTTAAAAATAATACCAACTGAGCAACATAAGCACAATACATAGAGAAAAAAGAGAGTAAACAACAACCGTAGAAGTAACATACTAGTAATGTGGTTGGAACACACATAACAAAATCACAATGCTTGTATAGTCAAACACGCAATCAATCATGCTTGCACACAAACAAATTTTGTAATTAGGTCACTCAAAATACACCACTAACACTACTCCCCCTTTTTGCCACAGTTTGGCAAAGGTATGGAAGTAAATTCCACAAACATACCATGAAGGGGAACAATACAACCACAACTAGTTTTTGAACTTGAACAATAATTTTGATTCTCATGAGTCTTTGTCATTAGAGCAATAATATGCATCATACTAACGTTATGCAAAAAAATAACTGACGAAGACATTGAGTCGTCATCGAACTTTATTTACCCCAACAGGGAAAGGAAAACATCGAGAAAACCTCATAAAGGAAAGAACACGGTCTCGCAACTAAATTCAAGGTTCGGGATTTGATTACGCAAGTGGAAGGTATTAACACTCCTCACGTTCGTTGTACTCAATGGGACCCACTCTTGTTGTTCTAATCAAAGAGTATGTATATCTAATACTTACTTGCTAAGGAAATGCATGAATAAAAAAGGAAAACAAAAGGGGACTCGCTAGGATCTTGCAATCTCGTGCCTACTTATTTCCTTATGCAATGGGAAAGTCAGAGCAATCGTAGTTCGGATGACTACGGTGAAAAAAGGAAAGATTGTTCGTCAAGGATTCGGGCCCTTGTGCCTACGTATTCTTAACATGTATGATAAATCAGAATGTTGTAGTTCGTGGGACTACTGTTTGTTGGTGTTTTTTTTATGGACGATGCTAACGTCTGTGTTCTAGCAATTAGGTGTTTGTCGCTCGCTCGTGGAGTCTTATGCATTACCTGTATTGCGGTAGAACGGAAATAACATCCCCTTCATGAAAAGGTTTAAGAGAGAAAATCTCGAAGGACAAAATGATTTGCATTTGTTAAAATGTATTTGTTAGGTTTCTAAAAAGAGTTTGAGATGCGTATTATACTAATGTCTATGAAAGCAGGAGCAAATGTTTTGTACAAACGATCCAAGTGTCTTGTGTACTAAACACTATAAGAAAAGGTAAGGAAAAACTCCTACTTATCTTTTCCCATGTACTTAAGGCTTGTGAAGTACTACACACATCGTGCTTATTAAGTGTTTTTTGTTTTTTGATGCAAGAAAAGATTTGGATGCAAATAAAGAAAAATTTAAGAAAAAGGTCTTAAGGTTGAGATAAAAGGGAAAATCTATCCTAATGTTGTCATACAAAATATGGACCTACAATTGAGGATGAAATGAGATTTTACCCTAAAGTTGTCATGCTTGGATTAGGAACCTAAAATATGTCCTACTTCAATCTTAATCAAAAATCAAGTTGAACTAGAAGATCCAAAGGGAACATGTAAAGGCAAAGAAAGCAACAATATAACAATTAAGCAATAAGCATGTCAATTAGGCATATCAATCATCAAGTCAGGTCAATCTCAAATGCAAGGCTCCAATACAATTATCAATATCAAAACATGTTAAAGCTTTAATACAAGAGGATCGAGCAATGAATCAATCACAAAGCATGTCAAAGATCAAGCAATCCTCAAGAAAAGACATTGTCACTTATCAAAATATCCATCACGAGAAATCATGAAACTTAATCAAATAGATCAATCAAGAATCAAGTAATCAAAGGCATGTGAACATGTCAAACATTAATATCAAGTAATGGACCAGTCATCAAGTACATGGCACGCGAAATCATCCAATCATCAATATAAGAATCAATAGGAACATACAAGCATATTATAAACATCCATCTCATACATCAAAAAGACCGTCACAAACCACCAAGAGACACAATCAACAATGATGGACACAAGGCAATAAATCGTGTCAAGGCTAGTATCAAAAAGACACCAAGAAATATTACAAAATTAATGAGGAAAAGCTTTAAGAGCATGGCAACATATTTGGATCAAATTTCCACCAAGGCACTTGAAGAAAAAGATATTAAAATAAAAAACCTAAAACAAAAAAAATAAAACATGTGTTCTAATACATTTTTTTATTTATTTTTAAAATGATTAAAAAATTACTTAAACTAAGAAAAATATTTAATAATAAAAAAGACAAGAAAATTATTTTAAATAAATAAGATTTTTTTTAGTTTTTAAATATATTATGGGAAAAAAAGAAAATAAAAGAAATTAGAGGAAATTAGTAAAAAGAAAATTAAATATAAATAAAGAAATGGGTTGCAAAAATTTTGAAAAATAAAGAAGAAGTAAAAGGAAAATATGAAGGAGGGGTATATGTAGAATCACATGGGGTGCCAATATCAAATGGGTTTAAAGAAATTTGAAGAAATAAAAAGTGGCCCAACAACTCCTAACATAATTAATTTAAATTAAGAATATAATAATAAATAAATAAATAAATAACAAAAGATAAGTATTGACCTTTCAAACCAGTTTCTCTTTCACTTTCTAATGGAACACGCATTGCTTTTTCTTTCCTATCAAAATGTCGCGACGGCGAAAATCTAAGGGGACCGCCGCAATTTCGCTTGTGCTCTCTTATTCTCACGATCGCCCTCTATTTGTGATTCACGGTTCACTCTTCATCTCAACCTTGTCCTCCATTCTCGAAACTGTGGCAGATGGGCTATGGTGGTGGTGAGGATTTGAAATGAAGATTTTTGAAGGTTTTTTGTTGTGGTTTGGTTATTGAATTTTTTTTCAAGAGTGAGGAGAAAATTTTAGGTTTGAGTTTCTTAAAAGTTTCTATTGCAGTTTAGGAGTGATGTAAAGAGAGATTATGCTTATGGTTGTGAAGAGTGGAGATTGAAGAGTTTTTTGTTTTGCAGAAATTTTGAAAGGGCTCTGAAAGGTTGGAGAAGAGCAAAGAGTTTTGTATTTGTGAGTCTCTTTTCCACCCTTTTAGCTATGCGTGATTTTATTCTTTTTAAAGCAAAATGCCCTTCTTGGTTAAGTTAGAGGTATACTTTATTTGTCTGGTTATGTTTAAAAGGTTACTTTCACTTTGCAGGCTCTATACATGTTGTTGTTGTTGGTCTTGGAGAAGTCTCTTTCATGTACTGAGTTTTGGCTTCATGTATTTGTTATTAAGGATGTTGTCGTTGTTGCAGGAGTGTTTTTTTGGAGTGCTTGGGATGGATTTGCGGTTTCATGGCTTGGAGTTGTTTGTGAGGTCGCTATAGGCACATATTGCTTGGTGGTGTCGCTAATGAATTGTCTTGGAGCGGATGAGGTCGTGTCGTTTTTGCAACAACATTTGTCTTGGCTTGAGGCTTGGATGGCACAACAACTTGGTACGGTTTTTGTCGTGTTGGTAGCAATATTTTGGAGGTTATGGCATTTTGTGGATTGTGAAGCTTATGTTAGAGTCTTGGTGTTGTTTCTTTATTTTGCAATTTTTTTATTGTAAATTTTTTTTGGTAATGATTGTAAT